AAAGGAACCCCAAAAAATATAATAGCATTAAGTTTCTTATTTATAACAAATTTGATTATTTTTTTAAGGCTGCCATGGACGATGATAAATTGGAAAAATGTAACGAAATGAGCCCTGTAAGTACAATTTATACCTACGCTATTAAGTCTGCCACTGTCCATTATACTGGGTATTTTTGAACATTATTGACATGAATACTTAAATTTTCCAAAACATTTCACGAAACAGCTTTCCTCAGAGTTTTAGTGACTTATATATAAATGTGAACACTATATATATTTATATTTTTAATATATTTATTTATTTATTTTTAACAAATATTCATATATTTTTTTTAACAATTCTTATAAGTCTAAATCAGTCATAAAGATAGTCTTATTATCCGATTTGCTAGAAAGGTCAGGTCTAAAATAAAACAATATTTATAACACAGGTTTTCCAAAATAAAACATAACTCGTGTAGGTAAAAAGCTAATGTAATAAGATTTTACTAAACTACATACGAGTACTATAAAATACATTTTTATTAATCATCTTTCCGTTAAGCATTTAAATAAATCAATATTTACGATACAGGCTATGATGAGCTGTTGTACTTCTACGCACATAAGCCCGGAAATGCATTTTCTACCAGAAATTAAGGAGTGTTTTAAGAATCCAGGACCTCCTCTCTCTGTAAGTAAATTCATGTAATATATCTGATTACTGTAATAATTACCTTTTTAAAATAAACGCCGAGTTATGGCATGATTTTTTCTGACAAATATGAAGCCAGGGGTTATTCCAGAATTCAGTATCATAATATTGTGCCTTATTTAAATGTCCATGTGCATTTGTTTACTCTAAATTTACTTAAACTTGTGCTGAAAAACTTTGATAATTTAACGGTCTAAGAAAGTTTAAATGTATTAGAATTATGTTGTTATTATTAAAACATATTTACATGTTATTAACAGACTTTAAAAATAATAAAATAAGAGTAATATAATAAGTAACCTCATTTCTAAGGAGAGGCCTAAGTCCAGCAGCGGACTGTTAAAAGCTATTAATGAATGTAATAAAATTCGAAATTCCACACATGAACGTCCAATGTGTAAACTCCTTAGCACGTATAATTGTGTATATTATCTTCACATTTTTTTATTTATTTAGAAAAGCCTGTTAATAATATGTACGGAAAACATTGAATAAAATTCTATATAACTTGCGCAACATAAAATATCGCATAAAAAAAAACTATCGCACTAAAATTTTGTTTCGTTTGTATTTAATTAAAGTACAACATGTTTTTATAAATATGTTTTAGTGTGACGAAGATGAATGTTTAGCTAAAAAATTGGGATACTACGGAGATGATAGAAAAATAGACAGAGAAGAATTGGCAAGTCTCCTGGAGAAGAAGTTTGAAAATGAACAACTTATATTGGAAGCAGTAAAAAAAAATTGCCTGGAGGCTGATATTTCCATATATGGACCACCAATGTGTGATCTACTCAGAATGCATATTTGTATATTTGATCAATTTAAAGACGTAAGCAAAATTATTGTTACTATGATATTTGCTAAATTCAATCATAAAACGTGATATGAACGTAATGAACGTAATCGTGATATGAACTTCTTATAAAAATATGTTAAAAGAGTAAGAGTGATAATTTTTGAAATTGGTATAAAATAATACAATAAATTAGGGTCGGCACTGGAGGGGTAATGATTCTAAGCGTTTGTAACAACAAAACCAGAAAGGCATTATTCCTGCTAAGAACTTTAATAATACTTTAAAAGCGGCTGTAGCCTAGTGGTTAAGGCATTGGACTTGCAATTAAGAGGTTGTAGGTTCGAACCCGGTTAGGGTTCGAACCTACAACCTAGTATACACCCTAGTACACTACCAACGTGAACTCACTCCTGACACAAGAAATTTAGCTTAGCTGGAGGGGTTAACTAGAACACTAGTAATTTCAGTTGTTAGTAAACCATTTAAAAATACTGGTGTACTTTAAAATACGTATAAAATTGTGAATCGAATTTAAAGTAGCAACTTTTGCCATTATCCTCCTTGTGGTTACATCACCAGACTGTTGTTTCTGAACCCAATCCTAATGAACTCATCAAAACGAATTATGTGAATCCAAGCTCTGAAGATTTCATCAACATCATCGACAGTGTTTAATAGTCTACTGCTAGACATAGACATTGCCTTAGAAAGAAGGTTTTGGTCTACTATACCACGCTGGCCAGATGGGTTGGTGTAAGGTTTGTTTGAAGTTTTCTTCTTTTTGCAGTGCTGTTGTCCTGCAGCGTTTTCACCCTTAGTCGGCGCACACGACACATCACATCACATCAACAGTCTTTAATAGTCCACTGCTGGACCCAAGCATCTCCTTACAAAGGAGGTTTTGCCTACTATACCTCGCTGGCTAGACGGGTCGGTATAGGGTTTGTGTCAAGTTTTCCTTATCTATGCAATGTTGTTGCCTTGCGTAGTTTGGTTCCTTGGTCGGCTCTTATGACACCCACGGTATGAATAGGGGTAGTGACACCCCATATTCTTAATCCGTCACCAAACGGATACATTTACTAGTTCTCTTCGATAGGTCATATTAAATTGTATATTTAAATTAAGTTTATTTTTTAACAGCACTGTACCGCATGGAGTAACGAAGGAGACTGCCAAGGCGTCAAGGAGATGATTGATTTTTGTTGGAATTAGTAATTATTTAGTATATTCTTGTATTCAGAAAGTAAATAATTAAATGTTCACGCAAGTTCGTTTTGCTTTTATTCCTTAGTGTAGACTCTGGCTTCTATGTTTTTATTCCTACACAAAATTATGTTTAAAATAAAACTTATTTTACGTTTAAGACGGAGGACCGATGTCAGGGTTGTTTTCAAATAGAGTGACGACAGCAAAGCTGACGCCATTCTTTAGATTATCGTTGTTTTCTTTTATAAAATTTGTGGTAAATAACAAAAACAGTAAATACAATTAAAGATGTATTCCAAGGTCTCACCAAATGTCGTAAATGGATCCGTACAGCCCGACGGCTCGATCGAGAATGACTGAGTACGTTCGCGCCACGTGCGCGAACGTACTCAGTTTACATGTTGTTACGTTAAGTTTTGCATTTTCTTGTTGTGTATAAGATCATACAGTCAAAAAATTACAGTATGTGATGGGCTGATAAACGGCATTTATTGGTAGATAATATTATTAGAAATCTTTAATTTTATATTTAGTTGGGTATATTCAAAGTATATGGAACTCAATAGTAATATATGAAATTAAATGTAATAGTGAGAATGTAAGATGCAGTAGTGTAAATACTTAGTCTTGCCATATTGCGTAACCCAATTGCTGGGTTTACATTTCACAAAGTAGTTATAGAGCTAAATGCAATTGTTTAAACTCTTTATCCGCTTGTTATTAGTCGCATATGTGTGTGCCGCGCTAATGAACAATCATTAGCGCGGTACAATGAAACGTTCTCTGTTTGTGCCCGAAAAAGATTTGGGCCGTCCACGCAGCGTTGGTATGAAAAAAGCCATCAAAGCAGTGAAGGACATAATTCAAAGAAAACCTGTTCTAAAGCAAAAAAAATTATCTCAGGAAATGAATAAAGCACCTAGATATTTTAGAACCATGTTACGTATTTTATAAAGAAGACTTAGGACTGGCAGCGTACAAGAGACACACTGGTCACTATTTAACGGAAAATTCAAAAATGATTGCGATTGTAAAATCAAAACAACTTCTTAAGCGCACGTACGGTACGCAAAGGGAGGTCACAGATTTTTTTATTTACTGACCAGTTTTTTCTGTTGAGCAATATTTTAACAACCATAATGTTGTAGTTTATAGTAAAGTTCTATGGAAGCTTCCCAATGAGCCAGTCGAGTACGATATGAGCATTATCTGACCTCAGTGATGGTTTATGGATGGATGGTGAGGTGTTAGCTATTCAAGTGTGGCTGAGCCTAGTATAGTAAAGAGTAGTAATAGTAGAGAGTACCTGAGTACAGTCTAGACCAATCACCAGTAAAAAATACGTACGCAAGACCTACAGCACAACTAAATTCAAGGTTAGTTACACGTCACAGGACACCAAAAATACCTTTTTGGTTTGTGGGTACCATAAAACGTACCACAGTGTTCATACAGTACATTTAAAAAGATGACTAATTCTGAAAAGAAAAATAGAACCAAAGTTGGTTCGGTTCTATTTGAGCAGCTTACTACTGTAATTAGTTGACCCGAGGCACGTACGTTGGCATGCTCATCCGAAATATATTTTTACCGCACACAAAGAAAATGTAGCACTGTTAGACTCTTCAACATAATATGCTTCAATTCCAATTATGCATGACTCTAATATAATACAATACTCAAATTTTAAAAATTATGTTTAAAAAATAAAGAGATATAGAAGTATTTTACCAATAATTTGAACACTTTATTACTCATTTCACATACGACATCAAAACGAGAGCAATTTTAATTTAAACATGTCAAACGAAACCAACCATATGAGGTTTGACAGAGCACACAAACCCTATCCTTAACAATAATGTTTTGCGAGGCTGTTGGATTTAAAAAAAAACATTTAATTTTTAAAGAAGAAATGATTAAAGCGGCTTCGGATCTACTACACCAAGAAATTGTGAGCTCAGTGTGTGTAAACAAAAACATTCAAATTTGTAACACACATTGTACTGAATACAGTTTTGCAGGATCTAGTCCTTTTGTAATAAATGTTGAACATTAATAATTAATAAAATCGTCAGTCTATTAAGAAGTCATAGGTAGTAAATAATGATATATTATCCTAGGAATATAACAACATTAGCTTGCCTCTAGAAACGGTCACTGAATACTGTCTAAAAAACTCAATAAATAGCAATCCGTAAAATTTGTTTGATTTCAGTATTTTTACCTTCTAGCATACTTTTATTTTTGTGGAAGGGTAGCACATATTTAGTTACTTATTTACAGCATGGAAGATTTACACCTAAATAAGTTTGAACAACTACGGTTTCAAATTTCGAGAGCTAATTACAGTTATATACCTCGTACACGATATGCTTTCCTTACCTACTGTATCAATCTACACTGTGGCACAATATTCAGATGTAAGTTTAAGTCGTGCGTATCCGACTCGCGTCGCGTTTGTGACCCGCTGCTTCTACGTAACTAACGTTTTCATACCTACACACCGCGCTGCACTCTCTTTGCAAATACATTACTGCTTTCGCTCGTGATTTCCTATACAAAAATCTTCCTTCTTTCTATCTTCCCTCTGTTTATTACAATTAGACAGTTTATTGGTAAGTTTATTACAATTAGAAAAGCATTACCAAACAAACGCTCACCACGACTTAAAGATCACTATCAAATCTTAATCCTCTACATACTCCAAACTTCTACTATTAGTCCAGATGCCAATTTTACCTAACAATCAAACAAACATAGCATTTACACCTTGAACACTCAACCAATAAATGATACAATTTTCCACACGCAGTATCAGGGATCTTAAATATGATGCGTTTTGGCCAAAAAAACAATCTGCTTCTGAGGGATAGAAAATTACCTTTAATGGGCTATTATTTTATTTTGGGGCCCAGAATGAATAAATATGACAACAAAATATAATTTTAAGTATGTTATTTTTTGTTACTTTTTTATACTGATATAACATAATTATTGTTTTAAGTATATATTACAGCAATTTGCAGCGATGTTTATTTACTATTTCTTCATTAATTTTATTATTATACTAGGAGGGGTACAGAAAAACAACAACTGTGTTACTTTCATGAAAAATCAAGTTTTATTGTTAGGAACATTTACCTCAACTTGGAAACCTATCACATATGAACTTAAGATAGGATAATGATAATTTTATATATTAAATCACAAATTATCTCAGTCCGATATCTCTTTATATGGTCAAGTTTACCACTTTGTTACCTAATTTAGATTTAAGCTATTGTAATTTTAAAAAATAATAGCAATTTGAACTCACTATTTAAAGAGACAAATAAAATGTTTCAAATAAACAATAAACTCTTAAAATTAGGATATCTGAAACAGTAGTTTTAGTTTTATACCTTCAAACGTTTCCAGAAAAAGAGGGACAAAAAAGCAACGCAGTGGTTCGATACGTTACATAGTGGTAAACTTTTCACGTCCCAACATGTTTTCTTCACCTTAAACTAATAGAAACTTAATGCAAACAAAAATAAAGCATTTCAAAATAAACAAAACTTTTCTTTAAACAAAAAAAATGAAACTTCTCAAATTAACAATTTATAAACATAAAAAAAACCTTTGTCTTTTCAGTCACATTCGTAACATACACGTCTAACTTTCTTAATTTTTTTAGGATTGGGTACTATTTCTGAAATATTTTCATATGGTTCGTATGAAACATCTTTTTCTACTAGTTTTGAACCTCTTCCCCGAATCGTCAACTGATTTTAAACACATAATTTTGATCTCTCCTTCGTCGTCAACATCACTTTGGGCGACACCTAGATAAAAGTATGTTTTGTCCTTGTCAGTGGAAACTTTGACTGTAACGTAAACACCCATGGATACTTTTGATGGATGTAAATTTTCCTTTTCAATTAATTTTCGTTCATCTATATTAGAAACTGAAGCTTCTTGTTCCTTTTTAAGTTGAATCTTTGAAAGAGGCTTATCATCTGAGCTCCAAGTCGAAGAATAAACCATTTCGTAATAAGACCTCTTGGGATTGGTCACAAGATTAGTTATATCAGTTAATACTTCTTTAAAGACAGGAATTGGCTGATTGGTTTTAGGTGTTAAGCAACCGCAAAAACCCCTTTCAAAAAAGCAACTAAGATCGCGGTAGTGCAATTCTCCTGCATTTTCTGTGAAAACTTGATGTACCTGCATTGTACCCCGGAGAGGGATAATGTCTTTGGGAACAGTTTGCTCTACCTTTGCAATATCGGTATCAGTTATGAAATGTATCTGAATTTTGCTGGCGTCCTTTAAAGCTTGAAAAAATGTCTCTGCGTCAGGAATGTCTAAGCCAAAAGCAACTTTTTGGTCAGCTGTTCATTTAAGATAGCCACCAACACCATCAGCCGCACCCCTTCCGTGACCTGCTTCGAAAAAGTTCCAGGTAATGCGATCAAAGTTATACTCTTTGAATGTTCTTGAGCAGATGAAATGAAAGTTTATCTTCTGCCTATCTTGTGTCGGAGAAGACATGGATTGTTTTTATGTGTGGATGATTAGCTTTTAATGTACTTAGAACTGGGTCTTTTTTTTAGCTTGCTAATACCGAGACATTCCTGCAACATATCGCCTTTCATTTTTAATTTTGTATGATACTCCCTTCAAAAATGCGACGTATTGTAAATCGATCTCTTAGAGTCTTTATTCTGGAGTAATGGTCTCTGATGGCATTAGATAAAGTGGCGTACTTTTTGTCTCCGTCTCCGCTCTCCGACTTTTTTGCTTTGTTCTTTTGTCTTTGACATCTTTTTTTGTACTTATTATATTTATTTTTCAGCTTATCATTTTCTGCCTTCAATTTTATATTTTGCCTATATAATGTCGATCTGTCTCTTCTTACTTGTCGTGTTCCTCTAGAGCGTGGAGAAAGGGGAGTTCCTGATCGTGGCGTCGAAGCTGGTGTATTATTCAAAATGACCTGTGCAATTTTTTGGCGCTCTTTA